CTCAAGTAGTAGAGTGCTAGCTAGCCTTGAGCTGAAGAGCTGAGGGACAGCACCCAGGCCAAGAGTTCAGGCCCCACGACCGGACCCAAAAAAAAAAAAAAAGTTTCATGGACTTTCCTGCCCGGGCTGGCTTTGAACCATGATCCTCAGATCTTAGCCTCCTGAGTAGCTAGGATTACAGGTGTGAGCCACTGGTGCCCAGCCCCCTTATCTTTTTTGCTCAAGGCTCGTGTTGTATTACTTGAGCCACAGCTCCACTTTTGGCTTTTTGATGGCTAATTGGAGATATGAGCTGCTCACATACTTTTTTTTTGGCCAGTCCTGGGGCTTGAACTCAGGGCCTCGGCACTGTCCCCAAGCTTCTTTTGCTCAAGGCTAGCACTCTACCACTTGAGCCCCAGTGCCACTTCTGGCTTTTTCTATGAATGTGGTGCTGAGGAATGGAACCCAGGGCTTCATGCAAGCTAGGCAAGCACTCTACCACTGAGCCACATTTCTAGTCCTCTCGTAGATGTTTCTGTCCAGGCTGGCTCCGCTGCCAGCCTCCTGAGTGGCCGGGTGACAGGCGTGAGCCCTGGCTCCTGAGCCCAGTTCTCTCCTTGTTCTCCATCTTTTCATGGCTCCTCTTTCACTGATGAGCAAGTCCTTTATTTTTTCGTGAGCGGTGGCAGCTGCTCCAGTGCCCACCGCCGTGCCGCAGTCCAGTGCTGCTCCGAGTCCCCTCTCAGTGCCTGCTTTTCCTTGGTGACTCTGCCCATTTTCGTGTGGCAGGCATTTAGTGATGGCTAGGGGGGCTGATTGGCATGGGTGAAGCTTTGGCATTTTCTGAGTGCCATTCCCCGTCTAGATCTTGGCTGGCAGGAGACTGGCTTGTCCTCGTACACCTGTTCTGACTGGAGCAGTGTTCTCACAAATAGGAGCCACTTCTTGGCTTCCTTACGTCCGTCGCGCCTTCATAGTCAGTCTTGCTTTCTGTCTCAGGGGGCCAGGACTGTTCCGTCTCCTTCGTGTCTCGAGTCCTGGGGAAGGTCTGCGTCCAGGGCAGACAGAGTGAGTGGCACCCATTCCCCTCGCACCTTTCCTCGGGGGTGGGGGATGGGAGTGGGTGTTGGGGGGGTAGTCTGGTGTCACTGTGCATCCCCACAGTCTTGTCCTCAGTGGGCCCCCTTGTGGTGTCCACTCTGAGTCCTGGCTGTGCTGTGAGCCCATGGCCCCCTGGCCGGGCACAGCTCCTGAGGCCCAGGCTTGTGTCTCCTCAGAGGAAATCCTGGGTGTGCTGGTGCCCCGGCTGACGGCGCTCACCCAGGACAGCTGTCTGTGGCAGCGGGTCTGCTGGCGCCTGGTGGAGCAGGTGCCTGATCGGGCCATGGAGGCTGTGCTGACTGGGCTCATGGAGGCTGCGCCGGGGTAAGCCGCTTGGTGCCCCTCTGAGTTAGTGTTTCTCTGGGGCGCGGGTGGGGAGCTACTGAGGCCACTGTCTGTGTGCCCTCCACCCTGGTTGCACTTGTGGGGTGCGAGGGCTGGCTCTTCCTCAGCACCGGTGTTTCTAGATGGCCACTGGTTGTACAAGTGCAGGTCCTTACGCTTTTCACAGCCTAGCTGCCCCACCCCACCCCGAGTCTATGCCCAAGTAGACCCCCAACCTCTGCAGTCCACAGGATTTTTCAGTTCCAGGGCCCTTGGCGTTTCCTGGTGAGAAGGAAGAGCAGACATGGGAGAGTGCCTTTCCTACACTCCAAGGACAGCTGTGACCCAGCCCCTCCCGTCCCTGCCCACAGGCCTGAAGTCCTGTCTCGACTTCTGGGGAACCTAGTGGTGAAGAATAAGAAGGCCCAGTTTGTGCTGACCCAGAAGCTTCTGTTCCTGCAGTACCGGCACACGGTGAGAAAGCAAGCAGGCCACGTGCTGCCCTGAGCACTGGGAGAACTCTATCAGAAACGGAGTTGGCTGGGAATGGAGTTTGGTGGGCGAGAGTCTGCCTGCTTGTCCTGCATGAGACCCGGCGTTCCATGCCAGCGCCACATGCACAAACTCCCCCCCCCCCCGCCCCCAGGAAGGGTGGGTGAAGTGTGGGCACATCCCTCCTACTGATAGGCCTGCTGTGACCCGGGCACTGGGCACCAAGCAGGCCTTTCACATGTCCCTGGCCCTCCTCCTGCCCAGGAGGAGCCCTTGCCAGCTCTGTTCCGTGGTGCCAGGATGTGGCTGCCCAGCGTCCAGCGTCCAGCTCAGGGTGGCCGGCATGTTGGCATCAGGTGTCAAAAGCGGGACAGTGGGGCTGGTTTCTTAGTGATTACTGTGAGCTGAACTCTGTCTTGGGTGGCACCTGCCTCACAGCCATCGCCCTCAGCGAGGGGGCCGCGCTGCACACTAGGCCAGCAGTGCAGCGCCTCACCAGGAGCTGCTGGCCCTGGGGGCAGGCCAGGGCTGCCGGGGTCTGCAGCAGACCTCCTATTGAGCACGCGAGAGCAGCGCCCTGGAGGAGGCCTGGCCAGGCCCGGGGAGCAGCCTCAGGCTGACCTGCGCTGGTACTGGGTCTCTCTGGGGCAACGGCAGGAGGCAGGGAGCTGAAAAGGCCAACTAGGCTGCTGGCAGACCCGCGCAGGGCTGTGCCGAGTGCGCTGTGGGCCTGGTATTCATTCTGGCTCTTGTGAGGACTGAGGTGGAGCCAGGGTGGAAGTGCAGTTCAGTCCCCCACTGGCTGCGTGGCGGGCAGCTGGGGACAGTGGCCTACACTGGCAGCCAGGTACCACTCTGCATAGAGCAGGAGGGAAGCCCTGAGCTCTTCCTAGCTCAGCTGCTGGTCAAGGGGCAGTGGGCAGATGCAGTCCCGAGTAGATGGAGAGCCAGAGCTGCCCCACCCAACCCTGTGAGGGGGTATCGGAGCCCCTCGCCTCACAATCCCATCGGGACGGACACAAAGCGAGAACTGCAGGTGCCAGCGTGGACGTCAGGTGCCCTTTCCTGGGTGAAAGAGCAACTGCCCAATGAGCGGCCCGAGGCCAGGTCAGCACCCAGAGAGGCTGGCAACCTAGAGCCGAGCGTGGCGAATGGCGGCCATCCGAGGAGGTGTTGGAGTTGGTGGCAGGAGCCTCGTCCCCACCAGTGCCCTCAGTGAAGCGCAGGGGAAGGAGAAGTAGGAGTTGGGAGTCAAGGAATTGAATTTCACAGTTCTGCTAACGGAAGAAGGCCAAGGAGTAAGGAGAAAGCTGTGTCCCGCTGGCACGGGACACACCCTGGGGGTGGGGCCACAGGCAGGCTGAGTGACTTCCGCTCTGGGAGCCAGAACTAGGGCGAGCTACTCCATCGCTAAGCGTGTGCTCCAGCCTGGATGACACGACAACTTCCTTAGAAACACTAGGTGGCAGGGAGAGCGTGCTCTGCGGTGACAGTGCGGGCTTTTGCCGCAGACGCCCATGCTGCAGAGCCTGCTGGGGTACCTGGCCGCAGACAGCCAGCGGCGGCCGCTCCTTGTCCAGGTAAGGGCCGCCTTTCATCTCATCCCCAGGGGGCCCGGGCGTCCTCGGGCGGGGATGGCGGGACTAGCTTTGTGTGTGCTGGAGCCCCCTGCAGTGGCCGTGGCAGAAGGGCTGCCTGACCAGGCAGGACCACACCACCCACAGGCACTGAAGGAGCTGCTGGAGACGTGGGGCAGCGGCAGCGCCGTCCAGCACGCGCCCCTGGCTCAACAGCGCTACATCAGCACAGCCATCCTCATCTGCCTGGCGCACCTCGGGGAGCCGGAGCTGCAGGACAGGCGGGACGGTGAGCGTGCGGCACGCGAGGCCTGAGCGCCGCCTGGCCGTGGGCCCCCCAAGGAGCCCTCAGCTCACGTCTGCTGCTTCCAGAATTGCTGGCCAGCATGATGGCAGGGGTGAAGTGCCACCTGGACAGCAGCCTGCCTGCCGTGCGCCGCCTGGGCATGGTTGTGGCCGAAGCCCTCAGCTCCCGCACCCACCCTGAGGGGCCCGCCCTGAAGTTCCAGGTAGGCAGGGCCGGCCTCCTGGGGGCCGGGGTGTTGGCGCATGGGGGCTGCGCCGGATTCATCACAGACATCCTCCAGACGGGCAGGGGAAGAGCCTGTCTTGTTGCCCAGGGCTGCTGGAAGGCCTGGCCAAGCTGGCGACAGGTTGCTCTGAGCAGGTGGCTTGCTTCTGCTGCCCGCTGTGCGGTTACCACTGGGCCTGGCCTGCATGGGTCCCTGACCCCGCCCTGCCTAGTCTCACGGTGCTGGCCGAAGTTCCCTTGTCTGTTGAACCCCTGGGATGCCCTCGGGGCATGGCACCTCGGCCATCCTCAGCTCCTCGCAGGGGACATGAGCCAAGCTCAGCATGGCCAGGCTCCATGGGGTTGGACAGACTGGGGAGGCCAGGCTGCGGCTGTCCCTCGGGGGCATGCGCCTCTGTGGGCAATGCTGACCCTGGCACATCTGCACTTGCAGTATGAAGACGATGACGAGGTGAGCCGTGAGATGCTGGCCTTGGCCACCCACCAGCCTCTGGGGAACCGCTCCGAGGCGAGGTGAGGGCCCCCGCATTCCTGGTCTGAAGCTCCCTCTGGGAAGTCAGTGGCCTTGGTAGAAGTCAGGGATGATGTGGGTGGGTGTGGCAGAAGCCTCACCACAGACGCCGGCCGAGGCTCCCACGGGCGGCCCCGATCACTTTGCTGTCCTTCCCTAGAGACCCATCCCTGGCTCCTCCGGCTACAGAGACTCCTGCAGAGACTGCCGGAGATGGTGCCCAGTCCCCAGGTCTGCCACAGGGCTCCGGCTCCGGCTCGGAGCTGGACAGGTAGGGCAGGGCCCTTGGAGAGCGGGGTGAGCGAGCGAGCGGTCTGTGGGCAGAGGGTGCCCTGCGGGGCTCCTGTGCTCCCGGTGCCTCCACTCTTGCTTTCAGCCCGAGGGGCCTGTCCCCGCTCTGATTTTTGCAGCCCTTGCTGGTTGTCTTTCCTGGAGTCCTGGGGGAATCTCAGCATGTTCAGGATTTGTCCCTAGAGAGTGGGAGTCTGCTCTCTGGGGACAGGTGCTTCTACCATCTGCTCTGTGTCCACAGTGACGATGAGTTCGTCCCCTATGACATGTCACAGGACAAGGTGCTGAAGAGCAGCAAGGTGCCCCTGTATGTTCGAGACTGTGTGGAAGGTGGGTTTTGGCTGGGGTCACATGTGGGCCTCACTGTGGCTTTGGCCGAGGGGTGGCTGAGCCCGGCTATCCCCATGGCCGTCCTGGCCGCCCGGGCCCACCGGCCCCGGGGCTGAGGCGGGCCTGCCTGGTTCTCTGCAGTCCTGGCCGTGTCGGAGGACCCGGAGTGCTGGGAGGCCGCGCTGCAGGCCCTTGAGGGCCTGGTCCACAGGAGCCCTGAGGCCACTCGGGAGGTGAGCAGGAGTGGTTGGGCCCAATGTTGACAGCTCTCCCTCCTGGAAGGGAGCCTGCCTCATCAGAGCCCTGCTGAGCGGGTGGCAGGTGGGCGGCCCGGGCCGAGTGGGCAGTGGCTGGCTGGGGCTGTGGGCCCCTGACCCCGCCCCTCGGCTGTGCCAGGTGAGTGTGGAGCTGGCCAGGGTGCTGCTGCACCTGGAGGACAGGACCTGCCTGGTGGGATTCGAGAGACTACGCCAAAGAGCCCTGGTGCTGGTCACGGTCACAGACCCCGCCCGGGTGAGTCCCCGCACAGTGACCCAGCTAGGGCAGCCGGTGGGGAGCACGGCGGAGGCTCTGCCCTGTACCCTGCAGAGGCCTCTGGAGGCCTGGCCCATGGCCGTCTCTCTTCTCATGGCTTAGGTAGCAGAGTATCTGACCTCACAATTCTACGCTCTGAACTACAGCCTCCGGCAGCGCATGGACATCCTGGACGTAAGTGCCCTGGCCCTCTCGGTCCCAAGCTGCCCCAAGATAGGGAGCCCCAAATCCTTGCAGAGAGTGATGAAGGTGCCCCGGGGCTCGGATGGCCGCGGCCCTGACTTGTAGAAGACGGTCCTTCCGCAGAGCCCTGGCTCTGCCCTGCGTCTTCTCTTCTAGGTCCTGGTTCTGGCAGCCCAGGAGCTGTCCCGGCCAGGGCGCCTCCAGAGGCCTGGCTGTTATGGCTCCCCCCGTCCTGGCCCCCAGAGCTTGCCAGCAGTGGCCACCCCTCAGCCTGGCAGCGCTGCGGCTCCTGACTGGCGCGTGGTTGTGGAAGAGCGGATCAGGAGCAAGACCCGGCGGTTCTCTAAGGTCAGCCGAGCTGGACTGCGTGAGGGGGTGGCAGGCTGAGCAGTCAGGTGCTCCCAGGGTCCATGTGCACCAGGGGGCGGCTCCTGTGCTGGCGACGCAAGTCAGAATGGGAATTGGAGTGGCCCATCAGAAGTCAGCCAGTGGCCGCCGTGTGGCTGGGCTTCCCGGCCAGAGGTGATCTTACCCTACCCCACATGTTGGCAGTATCTAGACAGTCTGGGTTTCCACAGGGCTGACCGAGAGCCTGGGGGCTGTTCAGCATCACGGTGCTGACAAGTCCCACTGTGAGGACCAGGAGTGGTGAATGTGGGACGTCC